GTTTTAATATAAGCATCCTATCCAGGGATACATACTCTGCAGTCTCTTATTGTTTAATAGTTGGCCAGTTGTGACCTTCTGTGTGCATCTCACTCTATTGTATAAGGAAACTTCACTGGTGAGAGTTGAGGGATGCATAAGTTTTCTTGTTCTACTATGTTCCATGAGTCTTAAGTGTAGAGGTTCAACTGTAGATGTGTCGTATAAGACTGGGTATCTCTCAGGCATATATTCTCTGTGTCTGACCAGTTGTGGGATTCTTCGGTAGCCTCTATCTGTTGCAAAAAGAAGCTTCTTTGATGGGTGGTGTATGGTATACTTGTCTGTACATATAAGGATCCATATTTAGCATATGGTAAGAAATTTCATTTGTCTAGAGATATGACAGAGATAGGGTTTCCTCAGGGGTCTGTGATCTCTTCAGCCATGTGTGTTTGGCTGTGTTTACAATGCCACCCATGAGTTCACTCCCATTGAGAGGGCTTTACGTCCAGTTAGATAGCTGTTGATTGCCCCCCAGATAATAGTGCCATGACTGCAGCACTAGAGGTAGTTTGTTGTGCCAGTTGTTATGGTTTTAGGACTGGGGGGCGGGGCATTTCTCATTCAAACCACCACAGATTTTTCAGAAAAAGCTAACCTCCGTGACTATAGAATCAAGAACAGAACTATTATGAGTCTTTCAGAAAGGACAGCATTCTTCTCTCTCATGTGACATCAAAGCAGGCGACCTCACCAGGATTCTGTACTGGATTGGGTTGTCAAATGGTCAGCCAAGTTGGGCTTCCTTCCCCTACTCAGCAGTTTTGAGCAAAGAAACCCTGCAGAGTCCTCTACAGCTCCAAAATGAAAACAGCCCTACAGACAGCAACAAAGGTTGGATCCTTGATTGATTTTCTCCCTTAGAAGCTTGTATAATATCATCTAGCACTATGAAGAGCTAAATTTCAGGTAGAAGACTTCCAGGTCAGTTCCCGTTCCATTGCTTCCTTTTATTTATTTCTTAACTAATTACTTTTCTCCTCAATGCATGTTATGCATATTTACTTTTATTTCTTTCATAGAATCCTGTTCTCTCAGAGAATATTCTGGGTTTGTTATTTGCACAAATCCTGTAATAACATATCATACTAAAACAATTTCATAAATTTTATGAAACTCAAATGAGATACATGTAGAAAAAAGTCAGTCTGCATAACCTGTCATAAATGTATAAATATTGCTTCAGAAGCAGTCTGATAATACAGTGGTGCAGAAATGAGGATCAGTGTTTCTTATAACAAAGCCATTTGCTACCTTCATCCACTCATTAAGAAGTGTGCCAGCAATTGCATACACTCTGTAAGCCATATGCTTCCTCAGTTCTTGCAGGCGCAGTTCATTGAATATTTTTTCTCACTACAAGTCTCATCTAGAATCTTTTTTAATGTAATGGTGTCTATCCAAAAATGGCTGCCTTTCCAGTTGTTTCTTGCAAGAACAATGAAGGAATGCGAGCTATCATGTCTATTTTTTACACTCAATTTATATGAAATCAATTTTTTCAGCTCTACATATAAAATTAATGAATTCTGAGTAGCTTAAAGCATGGATCAAACATGAATCGCTAAGTAGAATTTATCCTGGTCTTGGAACTTTGACCTTCTGTAAATAGGAGAAAAAAAATCCGAGTCTACATGCCCTCAGAAGTTTGAATGTCTTTGTGTACTTCATTGAAGTGTATCTCATTCAACATCTATGATGTCATCAACAAGATTGGATAAGAACTCATAATTTTCTCACAAAATTCATCCCACAAATCTTGATTGTGGGTCCCCAAATTCTTTGATTGTCCATTATACACATTTTAGTCTTTTAAAATTCCCCAAGTAATATTTATTCTATATATTTTATTTCATGTATACAGAACTGCTTCTTCGCTAGTATTCTCCCTACCTGTTAATATCACACTACATCAGTGCTAATTTAGGCTTCAGTCATGACAGCTACAAAAGCATAAGACACCCCACTTTCTATCTTAACTTGTTATAAACTGAAAGCAAAAAAATGTTGTCATGCAGGGAATGTTTCAATGAGATTTTCAATAGACAGGCATTGAGCCAAGAGTCACTAGCACACACCCAACAAGAGAAACTCAAATACAAAAAACCAAGCATTCAGGATTCATCCCTTGCACATACCTCCTCTTGTATAACTAGTAGAGTCAGTTTGAATACTGATGTGATAGGACAAATAATAGATTTTTCACAGATGGTTGATGGTGCAAAACAAATTCTGGCTATGTGCCCCAATTTTTTTCCTAGTGGTTCATTATATGAACCACTTACTATCAAAAGATCATATGCTTTACAATATTTCCTAAAAATGGTAATACAGCATATTGAGCCATCTAAATGTTCTCAGTTATATTAGGAGGTTGTAAAAACAGCATGTAAACAGTCTCTGACACCAGAGAAACATAAGTTGAAACCTTAGCTGCTTGTTTTATGACCTAAAGCGAATTATTTAAACATTTTTGAGACAGTGTCTCACTATGTAGCCCAAGCTGGAGCCACACCCATGATCCTCAGGCCTCAGGCTCCCAAGTGTTGGGATTACAGATATGTGCTTCCATGCCTGGCTACTTAAACTTTCCTAAACATGTTTATCAATAAATAGGCACAATAGGCAGACGTTTAACATGGGCCCAAGATTTCCAGACATTCTGAGTTATTTTCCTGCTATTCCTCAGGATCTTACATGACCATGCTCATGATTCCATTCTATTACATTACATAACAGTTTATCTTAATATTGGGAAATCACCTTAGTGGACCTGGCCTAAACACAAAAGCATTATAAAATGAGGCAGAGTACCAACCAGCTGATTACAAAAGTGAGAGATTCACAGAGCAGGCTTCCATTTGTACCATTGCTGACTTAGTTGCAGTTGCCACATGCAAGGACCAGAGAAGAGCTTTTGAGCCTAGGAGCTCAAATCAACAGCCCCCAGGATAATAGGCAGCAAGGCAGTAAGGACCATAATCTAAGACCACAAAGAATTTCTGCTAGCAACAAAATGAGCTTGAAACCTGATTCTTTTCCCAGACTCCACATAAAAGTCCAGCACTTTGATTTCATCCTTGTGAGGAATCAAGTGGGGAACTCAGTCCACTCAGACTTCTAACAGATCTGTGAACAAGCAAATGAACGTTGTCATAAGCCAGAAATTTGGGGAAAATATGTTGCATATCAATAGAAAACTGATACTGTGAGGACAGAGAAAATACCTACAAACGTCAGCTTTTACTGGAACCAGCTGCACAATTATAAGACAGTTAAAGCAGAAGTTACTATGCAAAACTGGCCATGCTACATAGCTGTTAGATCCAGGGTCTGATTTGTCTAGTATGGCTGATATAAAGTGTAACTCAAGAGGAGAAATATTATTGCATGTGATCACGTGAGGAATTCTTTGAGTAAGACTTTTCCCTGGACGTGACAGTATGTGTACCATTTCTGGCTCTTCTCCAAGAAATAGTACTTCCCTGGTCTTTGGAGCAACCAAAACCACTCCTGCAAATTTCCAAACATCTTCCCTCACAAAGGATAGACCTGAACAAAGAACTTTGAGGACTAGTATGAGTTGTCCATCTATTGCTTAATAAAACTTTGCAGATTAAAAAAAGGAATGCATGACTGTCCTAAATGTCATAAAGCTACCTCAGTAACTACGATGCTACTTGTGGGGTTTAAAAGAGGAATGTCCCCAGCAGACTCCATGTATTTGAATACTTGGCCCCAGTTGGTGGATGTTTATTCTTTAGTACACATAGTGATTGCAAATGAGACTCTGAAGTTATGGAATTGGTAATCCTCTCCCAAACCTTTCTTCATTTACCATAATTACTCCTTGAAATGATATGCTCTACAATTTAATGTATATTTTTCTATTTCCCACATTCCAAGCAAAGACTCTCTTCTGATATAGTATGGATTATTTTTCCTTGTGCATTACTGGGAATAGAATCTAGGGCTTTGTGCTTGCTAGGCATGCACTCCACTGAGTCATATCCCCAGCTCATGGAATTAAGTCCATACCTCCAATTCTCTGTCTATTTTACTATTTCTGATTTCCTTTATCAGAGAGCAAGCTCCTCAGATGATAAAAGTTCTTAACTCTTTTTTCTTCTAATCCTGTTGTCCTCAGATTACATCTATTCTGGATTTCTTCCAACCCTGGCAGGTTGGCAACTTGTCCTGCACTACCCCAGGAGTGCTACACGGTGTGGTAGCACAGCAGTGACGTTTTCCGTTGTTTCCAAACCTCCCCTGATAACGTCCAGTAACACATTGTCCCACCACTAACCATCTGGTACCCCCGGAATACCTGAGAATACACATAATTGTCCCTATGCTCTCATTAATGTTGGTACTAGGCCTTGAGATCCGCTTATTTTCACTTCTGGCTCAGTTTTCTCTCTCTCTCTCTGTTTTCTCTCTCTCTCTCTCTCTCTCTCTCTCTCTCTCTCTCTCTCTCTCTCTCTCTTTCTCTCTCTCCCCTCTCCTCTCCTCCTCTCTCTCTCTCCTCTCCCCTCCCCTCTTCTCTCCCTCTCCCCTCTCCCCTCTCCCCTCTCCCTCTCTCTCCACCCAAACTTTCATAAAGTAATAAGAAGTACGCTACTGGGGGTGGGATAGCAGCAAGCGTTTACCCCCTCTAGTAAGACAGATCTGAGATGCCATTGCAGGACGGTTAGCAAAAGACTTCCCTGTTTCCAAGGTAAAGTCACTGCAGCCATCTGTTTGGATCGGCATAAGCAAAATGATGGATAAGGATGTCTGCAGGCTAAAACTCTTTAAACGAGCCTAGCCCAGGTCCAGTCAGCGCTGGGAATGCAGCTGTCCTCAAGAGGTAAACCCTGCCCACAGACTGTGGCTCCTCCCACGGACCAAACGCAGTACTGCGTCTGTCCGCACCACGCAGGGGCAGGACCTGAGTCTGCTGCGTCCAGAAGCTTCCGGCTCCCGCGCCAAACAGAAGCGTGATCGGTCCTGCGCTCGCTGTCTCTGCGGAAGTGTGTTTAGGCGCACCGGAAACCGCTAGGGGGGAAGGATGGCGGGCTTGCCTGTGCGAGACCCTGCGGTGGATCGTTCTCTACGTTCTGTATTTGGTGAGAGAATTTCGGTGGAGCCTAAAGCCAGGGAGGGATGCCGCCCCCTGCAGCTCTGATCAGGAGCCGGTGTCGGGGCAGGCGAGGCTGCTGCAAGCCTGTAGCTGGTCGCCGCCAGCCTAGTGCACTCTTAGGCAGACACGACACCCCCCCGCTCCCCCCCCAAAGTGTCCGCGATTTTCCGCAGTATGAGTCAGGGAGTAAGATGCTAGCGTTGGTTTTCTGTGCATTCTCCCCCTATATGAGTCTCAGTTTTGTTTAGGAGAAAAGGTACATGGCAACAGTTTTTTGCTGTTCCCTGCTACTTTTTGTCCCAGAATACAGATTTGTGCTCAAAGCGTCGACATTTTGTCCACTTCCCGCCGTCATAAACAGTATCTTTTGCGTTTCATTTGTAGTCTTTAGTGCAACCCTAGTGGTAGCGGCCACCTGGCATCTTGAGATGGGTTGTGGATGGTTGAATGAATGAATGAATGGATGGATGGACATGTGAATGAATGAATGAATGAATGAGTGAGTGAGTGAGTGAGTGATTAAAACCTACCAGAAAGATTTTAAGGATTGAAACTAAGGAATTCTTATCGCTTAAATGAGTTATTTCTTTGAAATTTATATTGCCTTTGAAGCACTTTTGGGGGTAGGATTGTCTTGAAGTCAAGGCCAGCCTAAGGTACTTAGTGGATTTTATGCCAGCCAGAATGATGTAACAAGAGCCTTTCTTTAAAAAAAAAAAAAAAGAACAAGAAAAAGAGCACCGTGTGAAAGGGACATGGCAAAACATTTGAAAATGACTTTTTTTTTTTTTTTTGTCTTTTTGAGACAGGGTCTCCCTGTAGCCCCAGCTGTCCTGGAACTCGCTTTGTAGACCAGGCTGGCCTTGAACTCACAGAGATCTGCTTGCCTCTGCCTCCTGAGTGCTGGGATTGCAGGCGTGCGCGCACGCCTGGCTGAAAATGACTTTTAAACATGCTCCACTACTCTCATGTCTGTTCCCAGTACGTCCACAGAAATAAGGACATATGCACCTATTTTAAAATTCACAGTTTTAGTACTCACTGATAAGTAGGACTTCAGGTAAATACCAAGTGCTTAAATACTTATTTTCATCAAAGTTAGGGAAACCCTTCTGTTTGACATATCCTTCTGAAAAGTGTTTGTGAGACAGCCTTTTTTATTTATCTTTTGGCTCATTTCCCCTGTGAGGGAGGTCTACATCAAAATATAATGTGGTTTTAGAGAATGTTGTGTTCAGCCAGTTAACATATTTTTTGATCCAAATAGAAATTCTGTGTGCTTGCTCACCGAAGAGCTAGGTTACAGTATCAGAATTTTAACATGTTACCTTTTCCTTAGTGGGAAACATTCCTTATGAAGCTACTGAGGAACAACTGAAGGACATCTTCTCTGAGGTTGGACCAGTCGTTAGTTTCAGGTGAGTTCCTCTTCTAGTCTTTGATGGGAGATTCTTTTTTTTAATTTTATTATTTATTTATTTATTTATTGCTCTTTTGTGAGACAGGATCTTCCTGTAGCCACAGCCACCAGGCTGACCTCCATCTCACAGAGCTCGTTCTGCCTCTACCTCCCAAGTGCTGGTATTAAAGGTGTTCGCCACCATGCCCAGTTGGTGGGAATTTCTTAAAAATCATTACAAACTTGGAATTAAATTCACATACTGTATAATTTATATCCACTCTCATCTGAAAGATATTTTTTCATTAAAAATGTTTTTAAAACACTTCAATAAGGCAGAGTTAGAAAGTTACCTTACAGTGGGCCAAATTAGAGCATGGTAACATTTGCAGGAACCCTGTCTCTGTGTAACATTGGTTCCTGATGCTTGGTTTTGCTCTTCAGATTGGTATACGATAGGGAGACAGGAAAACCAAAGGGTTATGGCTTCTGTGAATACCAAGACCAAGAGACAGCACTTAGTGCCATGAGGAACTTGAATGGGCGCGAATTCAGTGGGAGAGCACTTCGAGTGGATAATGCTGCTAGCGAGAAGAACAAAGAAGAACTGAAGAGTGAGTATGATCCCAGCAGTGTATGTTGAGTGTGTTGAGATGGTTAGCAGCCTAGCTTCTTAGAACCTAGGGTGCCTGAGGAAGGGATGTGTATATCTTTAAGAAACAAGGTAAAGATGACTTGAGAAATCCTTCTGTTGCTTAGGAGTTGGATTCCAGTTGAAGGTAAATGTCAGGTACAGCAAGCCACTAATTCTGTGTGTTGCCAGATCAGTAACTGGTAGGAGCATTAAAGGTCTTCTTAAAAATTCTCTGTTGAAATTAGCGTCTGTGTCTGTTTAAATGTTTTTCTTCTGAAATGATTTGTCGAAGAAGTCAGTAATGGCATTGTCAACCATGTGATCACCTTCCCAACTTTCCTCTGAGAACAGAAAATACGCTGTCACTTTCCTTCACCGAAACAAGTTTTTTCCAGATCACTTGCTTCTCAGCTCCTGCTAATTTCAAGTTACTGGTTGGTGCTTATAGCAGCACTGGAAAATAGATAACTTGAAATGACAGCTTTTTATGTTGCTTTCCTGACTCTCTTGTACTGTCTTCCTAATCAGGCCTTGGCACTGGTGCACCTGTCATTGAGTCACCTTATGGAGAGACCATCAGCCCTGAAGATGCCCCTGAATCCATTAGCAAAGCAGTTGCCAGTCTTCCACCAGAACAGATGTTTGAGCTGATGAAACAAATGAAGGTGGGAGGAGGCATTAGACTGTGAACAAACAATTCACATCAGATTTTCAAGGAATTAGTGGATATAATTCCCTGAACTGAAATAGTTTTGTCCCTAGACATTATGTTTTACACCTTCATCATTCCATGTGTGGACAGTATTTTTTTTAACATTTCATACATGGACCTTTCTATTTTTATGCACAAACACACCTGTGCAAACAATCCAGCTGAGTTTCTGTGGCCCCTGTAGATGTTTGAATGTGTTTTTTTCCCCCTGAGTGACCATATTATGATATTATAAATGCCTCTTCCTCTTGCCTGCCTTGGCCAAGATTTGTGTTCGATGTCAAAATCAGTGATAACTCACCAGGCATGATGGTGTGTGCCTGCAATCCCACTGCTTGAGATACTGAGGCACAAGGATCATAGCGAGTTCAAAGCCAAAGTGGGATACACAAGACTCTCACAAAGAAAATAGCAACTCAGAGATCATCTTGAATATTAGATTTGAGATGGGATTGGATCTAAATCACTGTCAAACGCTCAGTGTTGAACCTGAAGGTGAATCTTCTTGTCTTCTCAGCTCTGTGTCCAGAATAGTCCCCAGGAAGCACGAAACATGTTGCTTCAGAATCCACAGCTGGCTTATGCTTTGCTACAAGCACAGGTAGTGATGAGAATTGTGGATCCAGAGATTGCCCTGGTGAGTGCGTCTGGTTCTTTTATGAAGGTAGCAGGGTAATTGTTGAGTGGGATACGAACTGCCTACTGTTACACACACAGCTCATAGATTTGTCTTTTCACTTTCTAGAAAATCCTGCATCGACAGACAAATATCCCAACGCTGATATCAGGCAACCCTCAGCCAGTCCATGTTGCTGGGCCTGGCTCGGGACCCAATGTTTCAATGAACCAGCAGAATCCTCAGGCCCCCCAGGCTCAATCTTTGGTAGGGCTTTATCCTTCAACATTTCTTTCATCTATCTTAAAATGTTATTTTCTTTCCAGGAGAATATATTGAGAGAAGAAACACAAGGAATCAGAGATGGTAATTATAATTTCCAGGCATGAAAGCACTTTCCAGGTTGCAAAGCCACCAGAATGAATATAAATTCAGTCCCAAGTTCATAAAGAGATCCTCCCTGTATACCCTTTTCTAATAAGCGCGTGTGTGTGTGTGTGTGTGTGTGTGTGTTTGTGCATTGCATGACATGGGTGCACTTACATACATGCTAATTCTGAATGTTTTCTACAGATTTTTAACATGTGTATGTTTGGGTGTGTGTGTACATGTTTGTGTGTGTGTGTGTGTGTTTGTGCATGTGTATGTTTGGGTGGGTGTGTGTGTGTGTGTGTGTGTGTGTGTGAGATGCCTCAGCACTGTGGTTATCACTTCACTATCCTGTCTGTTGCCTCCTTGAATCCTCACAGCAGCTATGACAAAAAGAAAAACTTATGTTCAAAGCACAGTACAAACCCTGCAGCCATAAAAATTTGACACATTTAAAAGTTGAAACTTTTTTGTAAAGAAAAGGAAGTAAACACCAAAGACAAAATGTGAAAAACTATTTGCCACACATATGCAAACCTCAAGTTATTTAATAAAGAATATTTGAACATGTCCAAAAATGTTTATTGCCATATGATAATAGCAAATATTGGAGACATCTGAAATGTACATCAGTGAAAAATAGAGATGTAGTATATCTATCCAGTATGCATCAGGGAAAACTGGAGAAAATGTAATATAACTATCCAGTGCAACACTTGACACAGTTAAGTAAGCTATATGTGTCGGCACAAATGACTTCAAAACCTGATTCTATATAGCGATAAGGTAAGCTAGAATATGTGCTATCAACATAATTACTCAAAAATATAACATCACACAGAAAGTGGAACTAAGTGAATATGGAAACATTCCCCAAATGTATATATGTGTCAGCATAAATTCCAAACTAGGTTGAGTGAAGTACAAAAGAAAAAATTCAGCATATAATGATGAACATAAAATTTTTAAATGTATAAGAATTCTGAAGTCATTTAAGGATTGGAGGATACAAAGTGTGATTGAGGAAGACTACAGGAGATTGTGTTGTATATATAACTTTCCATAAACTAAAACTATGGAATCGTAAAAACAATTGTGAAAGTGGGGAATAGGCTTAAGCAGTCCACAAAAGTGTATTCAACCTCAAAATAAGATAAAGGTAAATATCACCTAACAAAGTATCATTTTCACCTCCCAGACTGACAGAGATAAACAATGTAAATGAATCTTAGGAAGGCATGGGGCAAGGCTTAGCAGACATTTTCTTAGCAAACATTTTCTGTAGATACCCAGATAGTAAATATCTTTGGCTTGGCAAGCCATAGGATCTCTGTTGCAACTACTCTTCTATGTGAGATAATATATATATATATAAAGGTGTATGTGAAAGTGTTCCAATAAAACCTTGTAAAGCCACTGATGGAAACAGGCATGGTGGCACATGCCTATATTCCCAGTCCCAGTACTTGGAAGGTGAAGGCAGGAGGATCAGGGTTCAACGTCTTCCTTGATTCAAATTCAAAGCCATGAGACACTAATTAGGGAAAAATGACTGGGGCCTGTGAAGTGGCTCGCCAGGTAAAGATGTTTGCCACCAAGCCTGAGTTCCATCCCTGGGAATCACATGGTGGAAGGACAGAACCAACTTGTGCAAGTTGTTCTCTGATCTCCGCAAGCATGCCATAGTATACACGATAGATAGATTATAGATAGATAGATAGATTGATAGATGAGAGAGGGATGGATGGATGGATGGATGGATGGATGGATGGATGGATGGATGGATGAGCTGTCTCAATGGCTAAATGCGCTACCGCCAAGCCTGATGACCTGAGTTCAGTTCCCAAGACCAGTATAGTGGAAGGATGGAACTTTCACAGGTTGTTTTCTGACCTCCGTATGCATGCTTATGTGTGCATGTACACACAATAAATTTTGAAAAAAAAACTTAGATAAGGATTTTAGCCAGTGAGCTATAATTGCCAGCCTCTGTTCTAAATACTTTTCAGAAATAGAAAATTGACTAAGAGTCAGAAAATGTGACTGGTCTAAAAGATCTGTAGGTGGCAAACCTGTGGTCTGAAGCTAGTCTAATCTCAGATTCTTCACCACCTCCCTGTGCAGCTTCCTCATTTCTGTTTGAGTTTTATTTACATTGAGCATGTATGAGGGTTTTTTTTGAAACTTAGTTTTTAATTCTTTGACTTCTTGACATTCCAAAGGACTGTGCAATTCTATGGGGGAATCTACTGATGAAAAGAGCTCTCAGAATTGAATATAGCATTTTAAAAATTAACATCCCTCAACCCCCAAGAAAAAAACTGATTGGTATCCATATAAAAATGTGAACTAAGAGCAACTGCTTTAAAAAAAAAAAAGTCTCAGCCCCTTTTTTGTCTTGGGTGTATACCATTTTTTTAACTTATTGTTGAGCCTGTCAGGAAGTCAAGAATTGGTTGCCAGTCACTCCTTTGGGAATATGCTCCATCATGACCGCTTTCCCCATAACCAGGTTCAAGTTGTATGCTGCAGATCGGATGTAATAGAAGACATACAATACAAAAAGGGTGTTTGGTAGACTACTTGCAGCTACTGATTTTAAGAAGAACTTAAGGCTATCATGAACTTGATGTTCTGAGTCTCCACAGAGACATGTACACAGTCTTTTCTCTCCGTCAGGGTGGAATGCACGTCAATGGCGCACCTCCTCTAATGCAAGCTTCTATGCAGGGTGGAGTTCCAGCCCCAGTGCAAATGGCAGCTGCTGTAGCAGGACCTGGCCCTGGCTCCCTAGCCCCTGCAGGTAACTTTCTTTTAGAGTCGCCCATTTGTTATTTTGTTGAAGTTTTATCTTAGCAACTGCCGAAGTGCAACCATTTATGTGTGAATAGGCTCTTGATAGAAAATTAGTGTATAGCTGTAACATATGTATCCTAGGCTGAGGAAATTGGATGATTTCTTTTGTTTTGTACTGTTTTGGCTAGGGTTGGCCTCAAACTGGCAGTCCCCCTACCTCAGATATCAAAATGTGAGAATTAGAGTCATATACCTCCAATCCCAGCTAAATGGCTTCTTTTTTTTACTATGTATGAGTGTATTGCCTGCATGTGTGTAAGTGTCCAGGTGTCATGCAATATCCATGGAGATTAGAAGAGGGTGTCAGATTCCCCTGGAACTGGAGTTATGAATGGTTGGTTGTTAACGCCATGTGGGTGCTAGGAATTGAACCGGGTCCTCTGCAAGAGCAGTTAGTGCTCTTAACCACTAAGCCATCTCTCCAGTCCCACAGCTAAATGATTTATTAAATGAGACAAGTATAGTGGGCGCACATGTGGATGTCACAACAATGTCAAATTTCCATCACGATTTCTAAATGTCTGCTCTCCATCCCTATAGATGCCTTCTCATGAACTGTTGACATACATGATATTGAGCAGCACCTTCTGTGGACACATTGAACAGCCTTTTGCTAGTGGATAAAACATAACTATGCATAATGAAGAGATAAATAATAGAATCAATGAGCTCCACTTAATATTTATAGAGAGCCTTACACCTTTTGACTGCAGAATATACTCGCTATTCAAAGTGACCATGGAACTATTCAAAAAAAAGAAAAAAAGAAAAAGACCCTCTACTCCTCTACTTAGCCACAAAGTAAAACTTAACAGATTTGAAGCAGTAGAGATTTTATAGACCACATTCTTTGATTTTAAACCAATAAAATCAGAAACAAATAATTAAAATGTGAGTGAGAAAAAAATCTTTACTTGGAAAATTAAGGAACATACTGTATCTAATCTTTGTGTTAATGAGGAATGTTTTAAATGTATAAATAATATACATTAAAACAAAATGTAATGTATATTTATACTTTATACAAAAAAGAACGGGAAGTAGTGAAAGTGGTGCCTAAAGGATATCCTGAAATGTCCATATTATTAACAAATAAAAGAATTCAGCACTAGCTCTAATGAATTAGAAAAATGATAAAGCACAAGACTCCGAGAAGAAGTTACTAAGGATAAGGACTAAATGTGGATATGGGTGTAGCCCAGTGATAGAGCACTTGCCCTCCATATGTAAAACCCAGGGTTTGATCCCCAGCACCACACAAAAAGTTGGTGCTCTTAACCACTGAGCCATCTCTCCAGTCCTACAGCTAAATGATTTCTTAAATGAGACAAGTATATTGGTTGCACATGTAGATGTCACAACAATGTCCAATTTCCATCATGATTTCTAAATGTCTGCTCTCCATCCCTGTAGACGCCTTCTCATGAACTGTTGACATACATGACATTGAGCAGCATCTTCTGTTTTAAAAAGTTTTATCAAGTAAGCCAATAACCAAAAAAAGGCAAAAGTTGAATGTATCTGTAAAATGTAAATAGCTAAACTTTCAAGGGATAGTTTTGATTGTATAATATTTATTTCTGAATTTATTAAAATTTCATGAAGATTTTGGAGCTATCCTTCAAAGCTCCTTGATCCTTAATAAGAAGGGGGAAAACAACCCACTAGAAAAGTATAGAAAGAAAATGTTTTAAGAACTTCATAGAAGAGCAAAAACAAATGATCAACAAAAAATAGCTTCGTTTCTAGTTAGAGGGTTACAAATTAAGTAACAATGAGATGTCATTTCAAACCATCAGTACCAGGTTTCAAAGACAGGTGACAATATTTGTAGAGAAAGTTGTACTCATACATCACTGGTAGAAATTGCAAGTTTTTTAGCCTTTCAGGAAAGCAGTACATGAAACACATAAAGACATTTGACCCAGCAGTTACACTGCTGGGAATTTAGCCTGTATAATTAGAGGTGGTGTTATGAGATGATTTCTTATCAAAGAAATTATGCCCATAATGCCTTCTGCTGAGTCTTCCTCAGATCTTAAATCTTTGTATTGTTTTGAGTGATTGGTCTGGATACAAATGGAATAGAACATTGTGGCTGGAAGAAAGCTTTGAAATCATTTAGACCAGTGCTTTTCAAACTTTAATGTGTGTTGCAATCACCTAAAGAGCTTATAAAATGCAGATTGCAGGTCCCCACTGCCAAACTCTGTAGTTCAATAAGTCTGAGGTGCAGAATCTGAGAATTTGCAGTTCCTGCATTTTTCTTGCTGATAATGATATGGCTTGTCTGGCTGGGAACCACATTCTGAGGACTACTATTTAGAACATTTTTTTTTGTTTTATACATGAGGAAGCTGGAGAATGTAATCATTTTATTGAGTCACTGTTGAGAATCACAGTTACTTAGTAGCAAGAACTGGGCTAGCACCCAGTTCTTTGGGTGTTTAATCCATAGCTTTTTAGTGCTTAGCATGTTCAATGAAGTAGGGAGAATGTGATGTGTACTTTCTATTTTAGGGAAATATTAATGAACTACATACAAATCAGCTTGCCTTTTGTCCCCACTCACAGCATATCTTGCTCCTTTGAGGAAAAGAGAATTATTGCTATGTGGAAGGGACCAGACAAGGATTTGTGGTGCGTGATTATTCTTTATATAGTAGTCATCATACCCCATCTGGTTAGAGTAGACCATAGGTCCTCAACCCTGTTAAATCCAGTGTCCCCTTCTTGTAACCTTTTCAATAACTTTCCTGTCCTGACATGAAGTGCACAGATGATATAACCTATGTAACATGACTTCAGAAGATCAGTATAATGCCCTAACTCTAATATAAAAGAGAAGTAAAAGAAGATTAGTTTGTTATTTTAAAATTTTAATATGTAAATGTTCAGGGGCAGTTACACTAGAAAACAAAATGGAGTAATCAGGTTTTTATATCTATACCCTGAATGTAAAAACTAAAACTGTAGACAGTCATATAGTATGTTTGCTCTGGCAACCCAAATATGACATGACCTATTAATGTGATTTTCCTAAATAGTGAAAAATCATACTAGAATTTTTAAAACAAACTGCAGTATCCATAAGTTACCCAATAATTGCATTTCTGAAAAGCTCAGTGTATATATACTAAAACAGTGCATATAACCTGCGCGTTTATAGATAAAATAGACTTAAGTTCTAGGTTCAGATGGCAATAAAAAGCTTTCCTTTAGATGACTATTTAGTGAGACTTTTGAAAGTTTTATCAGACAGACAAGCAACCTCAATTTTGTGGGACTGTCTCAGACTTTACAAGACACCTAGTATCCCTGGCACCTTCTCATTCAGTGTCAGCTGTGCCCCCACAAAGCTTTGTCAAAACTGAAATAATATACCCACACCTTGACCCAGTACCTTAGGAACAATACTGCCTCTTGTGAGAGGAGGTTTGTGGGTAAGTGGCATTGTTTTCCTGTATTACAGACGAGCCTTCTGCCACAGTTTTGGTAATTAAGGAGATGAAATACTCTTTCTGCACTCATTTGTCACTGAAGTGTGGCATATACTAACCAACCCCATCTTCTGTCTCACTGCATTGTTGGGTGGTAGTTACCGCCTTCCATTATAGGTTTCTCCTCATGGGGGGAAAAGTAAGGAAATTTGCAAACTCAGCCACTGTTGTAATTTCCTTTCTACAGGCCCAATTTGTGTTTTCCTTTCCTGCCCTTTATCTTCTAGGAGTAATGCAAGCCCAAGTTGGGATGCCAGGAGGTGGACCAGTGCCCATGGAACGAGGACAAGGTAAATATTAATATGTGATGAATGTGGACTGGATTTGGAAATGTTCCATATCTGCACTGTCTACTCTGTCAACCACTGACCACAAGTGGTAATTTAAAGCTTAAATGAATTAAAATTAAGTTCAAATTAAGTAAAATCTGAAACTTCATTTCCTAGGCACAGTAAGCACATTCCAAGTGCTCAATAGCCATGTGTGCTAATGCTTACCACACCGGACATTGAAGATATAGAAGGTTTCTGTCATCTCAGAAATTTCTAATGGTCTAGGCTTTCCACCAAGGGATTTGGAGCCTAGCTGTACAAGAATTGATAATGCAGCAGATGCATCCTTTGTTTCCTAATAATGTAACAACTTCACAAACATGTTCCCACTTATTCTAGGAATAGCTGTTGACTTGGTAAGAAATTTGAATAGAGAACATGTAGTATATGACTAGGTGTGTAGATTATGAGATGTAAGTCCCACTGCTAACTGGGAGGGTATCGGATTTAAAAAGCATACTTGGAAAGTTTCTGTTCTACTGTGGCAGAAACCCTGTATATAACAACAATAGTCATTCGAAAATCTTTACATTATTTCTTCATGATATTGGACTTGGAAGAAAAATCAAGTACAACAATTTAGTTCAAACCAAGAGAAAGAGACAAAAAGGGATCTGAATGTGTACTGAAAAACACAGGGACTTTAATTTTCATAGACAACCTTGTGAGTTAGGTGGCGCCACCAGTCTTAGAGGAAAAGAGGGAAGCCCAAGAGCTTTAAGTTTCTCAAGAGGATAAGGTAAGTGCATACTAATGTCTGAATAATGTGGCCTGTATCTGGTGTTCTTTTCTTTGAACTTGTAAGCAGCATAGCGAAGATCGATGTGTCTAAATACAAAATCTATCCGCTTTCCATCTTTGCACACTACCACTGATTACAAAGATATTGTTCAGTGTACTCTTACTCATTCAGTTCCTGCGATGTTCCAGAACTGCACAAGAACAGAGAAGCTTAATATTTTTCTTCTTACCTTATGCCCAGTAAGAGAAACCCATCTAAAAAGCAAAAGATTAAGATACAAGCCCATGGTTTATATACAGGAGTTAGTGATTGAAGTAATGAGACTAATCTTGTCTTAGCAAGGCAAACTTCTGGCCATATCCTCACATTGCCTCTAAGCATTCCCTGCTTTTGTGCTGTTCTATGCCACCACCCCCCACCACTGTCGATATGTAGTGTATATACCCCAGAGTATTTTGGTAGCAGTGAGAATGCATTAGAGCTTCAGGGATATGTGGTATTATAAGACAGAAAAGTCAAAAATTGCTAGTTACAGGGCTAGATGTGGTGGCCTCACACCTTTAATCCCAGCACTTCTACCTCTCCCCAGGCCATCAATTCATCAGTGAAGCCTTAGCTGTTTAATACATTCTACAAGATGTCTTTCTTCCTCCTATAGCTTAGTCCCACCTTTCTGGCAAATAAATTAACAAAATTAATTGACTCATGTTTGGAAAGTATTAGAAGGATTTGTTCATGCAAAGACAAAGTGAGGTGACCTCTTTATTTCAGCTTTTAAATTGTATTACAAAATTAGAAAATTTATAGCAAAATCAAAAGTAGCTATCAAGAACAGTCGTGGTATTATCTGACTCAGCATGTCCAACAAGTCAGTGAAGCTTTTAAAAATAATTTCCGTGTTAGAGTAGCAAAAAGCCCCATAAAAAAAGAAAAGAAGACAGAGTATATGAAGTTATCAGAAAAAAGTGATAGGGAGATAGGGGAGGAGTTAGAGGGGAGGGAGTGGGCATGGATTTGATCAAAACACCTTATATGCATGTATAAAGTGCTCAATAAATTATTTTAAAAAATAATAATAATTTCCTGTAGTACCCAGCAGTAGAAACAAGAATTTTCATTTGTGCCTTGACAGCCTTACTTTGCTTGGAATCCGTGTTTGCTCTGCTCATCTGTAATGGTGAAGGGAGACAGTGAAGGGTTCTTGCTTTCCTGCCTCTTTCATCAGCGCTGTTGCCAGTCCCATCTCATTAATCTTTGCTGTCTGGTTTTTTAGAATCAAAACCTTGCTGTAGTCAGTGACTACATGTGGAATGATATTCTTTTTTTTTTTTGGTCTTTTTGAGACAGGGTCTCCCTGTAGCCCCAGCTGGCCTGCAGCTCGCTATGTAGACAAAGCTGGCCTTGAACTCACAGAAATCCACCTGCCTCTGCCTCAGGAGTACTGGGATCAAAGGCGTGCACCACCACGCCTGACCCCTTGAATTTTCTGTGCTTTAAAATAGGACAAAAACAGTATTGTCCCACTTCTGTTGTGGCCACTAAATCTCACATGCTACATTCATTCCAATTTCTTTCATGTTTTGCCTCTGAAAATATGTTCATCTTTGCTTTCTCTGTTTTATTTCTTTGTTCATAATGGTATTTAGAGATATAAGGGGAAATGTGGTCGTATAAGACAGAAAAGTCAAAAATTGCTAGTTATAGGGCTAGACCTGGTGGCACACGTCTTTAATCCCAGCACTCAGGAGGCAGAAGCATGCGGATCTCTGTGAGATCTAGGTCAGACTGGTCTACATAATGAGTTCCAGGTCAGCTAGGGCACAGTGAGACCCTGTCTCAAAAGCATACTTTTTAATTTTAAAAAATTGTTGGTTATTCTTGCCCAAATAAACCTAGTGACCCATAGACTTCCCTTTAGGAAGATGTCTGGTCAAAATGGAACTGTTTTGAATACCAAACAGGCCTAGTATAGTTTAGGAAAGTTTGTTGCCTGGGGCAAGCTAATGAACTCTTGGCTTCTCAATTTACCTGTGTATGTGTATGTGTATGTGTCTGTGTATGTGTATGTTTCTGTGTGCGTGTTCCAGCTGTTTTAAGTGTCTACTATTTCTCCTTTTGAACTTACTGCTCACCTAGGAACCCTACAGCACTCGCCCGTGGGACCTGCCGGGCCTGCATCTATTGAGCGAGTTCAAGGTACCCATTGTATCTGCGGGTTTCCTTTTGTTTGTGGTGTTCAGGGTGGGACGTTGAGAGGAAAAGATCTGCTTGGCAGTCATCCTCACGTTCAGAACCCCAAAAGGGCAGTGTTTTGGGTTTTTTTGTTTTTTTGTTGTTGTTTTTTGTGTTTTTTTTTCCTATTGAGGCAACAAGCCTAAGATTGACCTCTTCACACAGGGCAGAGAACATGGATGATATGGGCATCTGTCCGAGGCTGTACTCCCTCCCTACTGGTGTCAGGAGGCTTGGATGGAATAGCAGTGTGTAAGGAGACAGCAGGTTCTTGCAGAGCCATGGCAGTGTTCATATATGCCAAGACCCTACCTCTCTTGTGACTCTGGTCCTTGAACTAAGATTGATTAGAAGGAAAACCAGGAGCATAAGTTTCTTCAGGTCACAGTGCTAGTCCTTGACAGGTTACTCCCCAGTTTGCTCTTTGTATAATTCCATCCATACCTCTGACATGGCACAGATTCTGCCTACACCCTGCTTCTGTTCTTGAGCTGCAAGAGGATTCTGCTGTGGTGAGGTTTCACCCACTCTAAGGTGTCTAAATTATGTTGTCAGTGGTACAGAGTCATTTCTTGTTTCCTTATGTGTCTTTCACAGCAGTAACTCCCCATTTGTTTCCCTGTCAGTGCCAATGCAAGACCCCAGAGCAGCTATGCAGCGGGGATCCTTGCCTGCCAACGTTCCAACTCCTCGTGGTCTGTTAGGAGATGCTCCCAATGACCCACGGGGAGGCACTTTACTTTCTGTAACTGGAGAGGTAGAACCTAGGTAAGTACTGACATAGAAGGAAACAGTTTGAGAATTTAGGGTTTTTTCCTTACCTTGAGAGAAAACTCTTTCTGCACCAGTTGGACCTCTTTGCCTACTTCAAAACATAAAAAATTATTTGTGGCCGCTGTCCAAAACTAAGCACTTTTTCTAAGGCAGAATTGTAGAGTTCAGAAGGTAACTTTGCGCAAACCATTGACTACTGTGTTTTTAGAACTTGTAAATTCTAGTAATATATACTTAAACAAGGAAAACTGAGGTCATGGTAAAATGAGTAGTAACAATAGTTGTTGATGTTAACAGGGATCATATCTTTGACTCTACCCTAAGTATTTAACTTAGATCATCTCATTGGATCTTCTCTAAGCTGGGAGTGTAGCACAATGGTAGAGAAATTACCTCTCAAGGCACTAGGTTCAGTCCCCCAGCCCCACAAAGATAGACAGACAAATCTAGGCCATACAGCCCTAGAATATGGATGTCATTAGCCCCATTTTACAGATAGAGAAACTAAGGCATAGAGAAACTAAGTTAGTACCCAGATCACACAGCTAATAAATGATAAGAACCTAGATTTGAGCCCATACAGTCTGAATCAGACCCTGTGTTGTTAAGCACTATACTGGCTCATTGTATATATAATAACTCCCCATTAATTCTTCTTTAATTATGAGTGACCTGACCAAAGAGGAAATTGTGGAATACATGGATTTATATTCACTGGCTTTTCTTTGAACTGTTTGCTGTTATTTTCATATTAGTGTTAATTTCTTGATGCTTATGCGAGTTCTTCATTGGGTGTTTACTTATCGATCTTCTGGTTGACGCTTCATTTTTGGTTTGTTCTGCTTTAAAATTATATCACTTTCCTCCATCTCTAGAGGTTACCTCGGACCACCACCACCTCATCAGGGTCCACCCATGCACCATGTTCCTGGCCATGAAGGTCGTGGACCACCCCCACATGACATGAGGGGTGGCCCATTAGCTGAACCTAGACCTCTAATGGCAGAGCCAAGAGGACCCATGCTAGATCAGAGGGGTCCACCCTTGGATGGCAGAGGTAAGAGGAAACCACACCACAAGGCCAGCTGGTAGTCATGGGTTGATGAACCTGGCTGTCTTCAGCTCTTATGTGGGACAGAGGAGTTCTAAGCATCTTTGACATTTACCTACCTACAAGTCTGATGAACTAGAAAGGAGACAAGTGTCATAGATGAAGAAAAATAAAATTAGAGAAATAGAAATGCAGGTTAGTGACTATACAGTGGTTTTCTTACAACTTTATAGGTGGAAGAGATCCCCGAGGAATAGATACACGAGGGATGGAGGCCCGAGCCATGGAGGCCAGAGGTCTAGATGCCAGAGGACTAGAGGCCCGTGCCATGGAAGCTCGTGCTATGGAGGCTCGTGCCATGGAAGCCCGTGCCATGGAGGCCCGTGTGATGGAAGTCCGTGGGATGGAGGCCAGAGGCATGGATACCAGGGGCCCAGTACCTGGCCCGAGAGGACCTATGCCTAGTGCAATGCAGGGTCCCAGTCCAATGACCATGGGGGCTGTTGTTCCCCAGGGATCCAGACAGGTATGTATACTACTTCTAGCCTCTATTAGGAAATCTTAATCTATTTGAGAATTTGTTATCGAAGCTCATTTTATTGCCTTCTGTCTTGAATGAATGATTATCTGCCTGTTAGAAAGGGAAAACTAGGATGTCCCTTACCTCTGTACCCCTTTGGGGAGGAATTCTCTGGCCACCAGGATTATACCCCAAAGGACAACCTTGTCTCACAATTTCAGTACCCTCTGAAAATTTATAGATCAGGGAATACTCTTCATCAGGGGTACAAACCAACATCAGTTAGAAAGCTTCTTAAAAAAAAATCTTGCCCAGATTTCACGCATATTGATGAATAGGATGTTGAACATGGGAATATTGGGAAACCTCCCCAAAATGATTCTAATAGACAACTCCAACTAAGAACCACTGAGCTAAAGCATGTGAGGAACTGTGTTCATTTCGATCATCTTTGGGAGGCATAAATTTCTGTGGACTTAGTGTTATCACAGCACCTAAATGAACGGCATCTGAACAGCAGTTCACATATGATTACCTTAAACTCTGGAGCTGAAATCTGCCTCTTCCCTCTCGTCTTCACTTGGCTCTCCAGCAGTGTGTATGTGCTGCTTTGTGGTGGTCACCTCCGCCCTCGTCATCTTCAGTTGGTTGTAGAGAGATGGTATTTGTGTGTTTTCCCTGAGTCTTTCTTTATGTTGACTCCATTTTTCCTTCTTTGTATTTCCCTCTTCCCACTTTCCTATGTTTATGTGTCTTCCACTGCGTTGGGGGTGGGAAGAGAAAGAGGAAAGAGAAAAGAATATAAAAGCTGGAATGGAATATGCCAGTCATCCATTTCTCTCATTTTATGGATGTGGAAACTGAAGGACAAAAACTAAGGTGATGTGGCCAAATTCATGGAACTAAGAAGTGACCGAGTAAAAAAATGCAGCTCTTTTCCATTCTGCTAGTATTGTGTGTGTGTGTCTGTGTGTCTGTGTATCTGTGTGTTTATGTCCCTGTAATCCTCTTCAAGATAGAAGTATTTTTTTTTCTTGGTATAAAATAAAAAAGTATTCTGGGCCTGGAGAGATGGCTCAGTGGTGAAGAGTACTGACTGGTCTTGCAGGACCTGGGTTCGATTCCTAGCACCCACATGGCAGCTAACCACCATCCTCTAACTCCAGTTCCAGTGGATCTGACACCTTCTTCTGACCTCCTCGGGCATTGCACAACATGGGTGCACTTACATGCAGACAGTATGCTCATACACATAAAATAAAAAGAATAAATAAAATATCTTTGAAGTATTCTGTTGCTTTTCAAGTTTTGATCTTTATTTATTTTATTTGTCTTTTTTGAGACAGGGTCTTCCTGTAGCCCCAGCTGGCCTGGAACTCAGTATGTACACCAGGCTGGCCTCATAGAGATCCACCTGCCTCTGCCTCCTGAGTGATGGAATTAAAGGTGTGTGCTGCCACGCCTGGCTTAAGTTTGGCTTTTTAAAAAATGTTTTTGTGGGGGCTGGAGAGATGGCTCAGTGATTAAGAACACTGGTGGTTATTGCAGAAGACCCGGGTTCGAATCCCAGCACCCACATGGCAGCTAACAGCTGTCCCGTAACTCCAGTTCCAGGGGATCCGACAGCCTCTTCTGTCCTCCGCAGGCATTGCACAACATGGGTGCACTTATATACATGCAGGCAATACACACATACACATAAAATAAAAATAATAAATTTTTTAAAAAATGTTTTTGTGGACCTCGATTTTTATTGTGCCCTTTATGATCAGTAGCCTCATAATAGACATGGTTTTTGTTGGTTGGTTGGTTTTTGTTTGCTTGCTTGTTTGTTTGAGACAGGGTCTCACTATGTAGCCCCAGCTGGCCTAGAACTCACTATGTAGATCAGGCTGGCTTCAGATCTATCTCACAGATATCCTCCTGCCTCTGAAGTGCTGGGATTAAAGGCATGCACTACCATGCCCCACCTAATAGACATGGGTTTTTTTTGGGGGGGGGGATTGTTGTTGTTTGTGGTGTTTTTGTTTTTGTTTTTATCTTTTTGAGATAGTGTCTCCCTGGAGCCCCAGCTGGCCTGGAACTCACTGTAGACCAGACTGACCTTGAACTCACAGAGATCTGCGTGCCTCTGCCTCCCGATTAAAGGTGTACACCACCACACCTGGCTAATAGACATGTTTTTTGTATATACTTTCAACAATTATTGAGCACTAAATACCAAGCATAATACAATGGATATAGTAGTGTGAACAGCAAGTCTCTGCCCCCAGAAACTTTGTATTAACTGGATAGACAAATACCAAATTATTACACTATATGCTTAGGTAATTAGACTGACCATTCTCTGCTAGTACTTGAACGTATTACTCTGTATTGTTAATTGTTCGGGTTTTGTTCAAACCTAGAACATCAGACACTCACAGCCCAATATAGTTTTTATTAATAGTCTATGAAGCCAGTTAGGATCCAAGATACAGAAAATAAGAAGTTCGTCTTCATACTTTTGTTTTGTTTGAGATAGGGTCTCACTGTGTAGCCCTGACTGGCCTGGACTCACTATGTAGACCAGGCTGGCCTTGAATTCACAGTGATCCATCTGCCTCTCCCTCAAGAGTCCTGGGGTTAAAGACACAAACTACCACACCTAGCTTTAATCTTCATAATGTTTAAATTTTTAAAAATTAATATATTCACCTAAAATAAATATATACATAATGCATTCAGTAACCTATAAAAGCTATATGTTAAGAGACTTTCCTGTGCCTCTCACTTGTGATAGGTAATTACTCTTATAGATAATTGCCTTTATTATATTTTTAATGTAGCCTTCCAATAAATAACAAATACAATTTATTTTATCCTTTTTATGGTCTGTGGGGATTTTTTACTTAAAAATAAATCCTTAATTTATCATTTTAAATCAGACTTAAAATGTAATTCCATTTCATCCAATTAGAATCATGTAGTTAAAAGGCTTGTTACTACTAGGGTGATTAATTTGTCATACAAAGGAGGACACATATTTTTGTTTTTTTTTGTTTTTTTTGAGACAGGGTGTCCCTGCAGCCCCAGAGCCCCAGATGGCCTGGAACTATGTAGACCAGGCTGGCCTTGAACTCACAGAAATCCACCTGCCTCTGCTTCCACACTTGCAGCACCACACCTGGAAGGAGGATACCTTTGAGAGTGAAGGTGCTGTTAATAATTCATTCTTGAAACAAAAGCATGAACTGATACTGTCTTGGGCAAACCAAGACATATTGTCACTCTTGGCAGAACATGTACTCCTGGAAATCTAGACTGGCCATTATTGGATTGCTTATGTCACATTACAGTCTCTAAAATTATTATTGATAAGTATTAATAAGCTCCCAAAAGATTCTACCCATGAATGGTTCCGATCCATAACAGATTTGGTATTGATGACAGAACAGAACAGTGATGGTATTTTAGTACTGTATAAAGATGTACTGCTGCTTCATGTATTCAGTGTCTTAGAAGAGAGTTAATGCATGGAAGTGAGTGTTCCAGATGAAAGAACTATTTTAAAACTATTTTGAGTTCTTTTGATAAAAAGGACTCATCAAAAAAGTTCTTTTGCACTTTTTTGTATGCTCCCTGTTTTCTTTAATACAGACATATGTTATTCATTTTTGATTACTCAAAGTCAGGATTAAAATAGATTCATGATTTTATGTGTTGTATACAAAACCTAGATCTCTCCTGTGGGGTATCTGGCCCTCTTCACTAGCCGGCTGTCACCTCGTTCTTTACATTGCAGCCATGATAGGTGTTTCTATTTCTTTTATGCTTTGCTGCTCCTAATCTTCTGGGGAGGTAGGTAACAAGCTTGTTAACAATTTGTATGGAATAAAGGTACGTAAGCTCTGAGTACATTGCTCTGGCATAGAGCCCATATAACAGCTCTAGGTGCATAACAGCCTTTTCCTTGGGTTCTGATAGTCTTCCAAAGGGGGTGGACTCACTAACAGTCTTAAATACCACTAAGTATGCTATAACTGCTCTTTATTCTTTTACTCGGATGAATTTCTTGGTCTGTATTGAGCAGAAAGCAATTGCTTTATGCTCTCTACAGAAAGCTCTGAAAAGCAAATGTTGGGCTAGTAGTAATCTTTTCCCCAGAAGTCTTCCTATCTCCTTTCTGCCTCTCTCACATATGACCATCTCCGTCTTATGGGCTAGAGAGCCCTATGTGAATAGCTACCTGTGTGTGATTGAACTAGAGGTAGGCAGTAGCCTTTTCAAAGTAGCTTCCCCAGTGAATCAGTGTACATTATGTTTAAACTCACTTGGCTTTACTTGTGTTTCCTCTGAGCAGTAGTTTTCTCGAGTGTGTGTACCCAGTTTTCCCTGAGCTTATTTGACTGAATTTTGCTAATTAGATGGTACTCGCTTGTGCTATGTGACATTTGTTGACTGTGCTAGAACTGTGATAAGCCAAGTATCTGGAACTCACTAGTTGATCTTTGGCTAAACCCTGCCTTCTGCCATTGCTAACAATATAAGCTGATCTTCAGATTCATATGTTCTTTTCCCTCCTATTCATCTGAAGATCATTGCTGGGTTCAGGAGTTCTGAAGACTCCTCTCTCTTTGTGCACATAGGTCCCAGTCATGCAGGGAGCAGGCATGCAAGGAGCGAGCATGCAAGGCACAAGCCAGCCTGGTGGCTTTAGTCCAGGACAGAGCCAAGTCACACCCCAGGATCATGAGAAGGTAAGCAACACTGTCTGACTGCCTCCCTATGCACAAATTTAGTCTTTTTGATCTTTTCACAGTTTCCATGTGGCGATCCTGGGTCTTCAAAGTCCCTTTGGAGGTGATGTTTACTCTAACTTAGAACTTTATTATGATCTTGTTGACTGAGCATTTAGGGACCTTTTCCTAAATGTATGAAGTGAATAAAAATGGTGACTTACTTGGCATTTCAGATTCATCTACCAATAGCAATTTTTTGTGTGTACAAGCCAAATTAATCTAAAATTTCAAGCTTCTTTCTACCTCCCCTTTCTGCCTTATCCCTAAAAATAATAGCAGATTCACCACACAAATTTGCCTTTCTGTTGTTATACTTGGCTATTGTTGGGAGCTCATGTCTGATGGAAAGGCTTAAACTTGTGAAAAAGAAAAACTTTCAAAACAGGAATAAAAACTGAAGAATTCCCAGGGCTCACAGATACCGTCTTAGTCTGCAGGAACTTTGAGTTCATGAGGTTTCTGTTTTGATTCGTCTAATCTTAGGTATTTTATTTTACTCTTGCTTTCTTCATTGCGCTTTTTTACACTGGATTTTCCTTTTCTTTTTGGCCTGTTGTTTGTTTTGTGTGTATGTGAAATATCCTTCCTTTTTCCATTTTGCTTCATATCCCACTACAGTAGCTTTTTGGACAGAAGCTGGTGGTGTTTTTTTGTTTTTTGTTTCTGGTTCATCATTGAAATTCACAACCTTCCTTTCCTTGCACAGGCTGCTTTGATTATGCAGGTCCTTCAACTGACCGCAGACCAGATTGCCATGCTGCCTCCTGAGCAAAGGCAGAGTATCCTAATCTTAAAGGAACAAATACAGAAATCCACTGGAGCACCTTGAAAGGTAAGCTGGCTAGCACTTGGGCGGGACTAGCTCCTTCTGCATTTGAAGTCATACTTCCAATCTTCAACAAGATGATGTACTCTGAGGCTCTCAGTCTTTTCCACTAGGCTCTCTTTAGCCTTCAGCAGTCAGCACCTCTGGGTGGTGCTGTAGAACATTTGTTTAGTTGTTGAATTACTTATGATCATCAACCTTTTCTAATGATGAAAGTAATAGACACTTTAACAAAATTAATAAGATACAGGAATGTAGAAAATTAAAGGAAGGGATGGCTAGATGTCTGAGCAGATAAAGACACTTGCTAGCAAGCCTGACAAATTGAGTTTGATTTCCGGAATGCATTATTGTGCATGGAGAGAGCCAACTGCCCACAAGTTGTCCTCTGACTTCTGTGGGTGCGCAGTGACAAGAGTGTGCTCCACAGGGCTGGAGAGATGTCTCAGTGGTCAAGAACACTGGTTGTTCTTGCAGAAGACCCGGGTTTGAATCCCAACACCCACATGGCAACTAACAACTGTCCGTAACTCCAGTCCTAGGGGACCCTACAGCCTCTTCTGACCTCCATGGGCATTGCACGACACGGGTGTGCTTACCTACATGCAGGCAATACACACATACACATAAAATAAAATTAATTAATAATAAATAAATAAATAAATAAATAAATCGTAATGGTAAAGAGCCCAACTTCCTGAATTCCATTTCCCCAACAGAATGTCTCAATAAAGTTTGGTATGTATCCTTTCACAATCACTTATTTTATTCCCAACCATTCCATCAAAATGGAGAAAATATAAAGTTTTTCAATAAAATATGTAACTATTTCAGTTTCTAGTATTTGTCTCATAATGAGTATTTTTTAAGACAGCATGTCATGTAGTCCAGACTAGCCTTGAACTCATTGTGTAGCTGAGGATGACCTTGAACTTCTGATCCTCCTGCCTCCACCTTCCAAGTGCTGAGTGCTAGGATTACAAGCGTGTGCCATGACACTAGGCTTATGCAATGCTGGAAATACAACTCAGGGTTTCATGCATGCTATGTAAGCACTGAGTTACAGCACCAACCCCTGTAATGAATATTTTGATGGTTAACTATTACAGGGCATTTAAGGTAGTAGATGTCCAGTGTCAGCATCAGTTTCTATACATTTTGGAGATTACTGCATTCTACCAATACTCTTCTTGTTCATCATTCAGATAAGAAGGATTCAGGTAGACTATCTCATAAATAATCATGTGACCTAATTTGATGTCTAAAACTTATTTCATCTTAAAAATATTTTCCCAACATCTTTGTATTTCATAAACAATTCTATTCTCCAAAAGCAGTTTAAAATCCATATTGTGCCAATACCTGCTAGGGTGTCTCCTATGGAATCGTTACTTTTTCACCCATATATGTTAGACTCCAATCCATATGTTACCCTATGATAGTGAAATCATTTATGCTAATTAGCAGTTGTACTAAATATATTTTATTCTATATTTGTAATGCCTTTAAAACTCCCAAACTACAAATGTGCATCATATCTACTTAGGCTTTAAATGACTTAACTGTAACTGGAGGCCATCATAAATGGATGGCTGACTAGACTTTGGTATGACCAATGTTTTACCTTTTTTTCCATATATACCCAACATTCTATTTTCTTCATTAAAAATATGGACTATATATCATATTCATAGGAATTTGCTTTTTTTAATTATGTCAGAGAAGGCATTCTCTGCAATGTGAGGAAATGACTGGTTTTGGAGCGTGAAGACAGAAATCTTTCTGAAGGTTTTTTCATTATGTCCTTCTGATTGTATCTTATTTGCCTTGCATATTTAACCGTTGTTAGGGCAAGATCTTTATGGGTTTTTGCCTTTTGAAATAATCATAGATTCATGGGAAGTTGGAAAAGCAGTACAAAGAGCATCGTGTATGCTTCACACAGCTTCCCTCAGTGATAGCATCTTATGTTTTTGCCTTGTAGTATGAGGCCAAGCAGTTGTCCTTGGTAAATTACTGTGAGCTGGACTACAAGCCTTATTCAGGTTTCACCATTTGTTAGCCCACAGTAATTCATGGCAATGGGTGTAAGCCTACAACTGTGTGATTTTATGTTCAAGATTTTACTTCTGGCTGGTATTTAAGCATGTTGTAGCTGAAATATTGGCTCTCCATCCTGTGCTTAGATAATTGTGGTTCCTGTCATCACAAACAGGCTTAGTTATCATCACCATTAGAGATAAGTAGTTCTTGAGCTGGGGAGATGGCTCAGTCCCTAAAGTGCTTGCCATATAAATATGAAGACCCGAGTTCAAGCCCCAGAACCCATATAAGAAATTGGGTTTGGCAGCACTGGGGAGGTAAAGATGGGAAGATCCTTAGGACTTCCTAGCCAACCAGCCTAGCTTAATCAGTGAGCCCCAGGTCCCAATGAGAGGTCCTATCTCAAAAAACAAAGTAGATGGCCATCCTAAAGAATAACACTCACAGGTTCTGACTTCTGCATTCATGCCAAAGCATACAAGGAGGAAAGAAAGGAGGGAGAGAGGGAAGGAGGGAGGAATTCTGAGGTAAGGGATGTTTTACTCTCTATGGTACATTTGTCAATTTTATAGGCATGTTGGATTGTCACAACTTTAGAGAGTGTGGGATGCCATTGGCATTCAGTAGGCACAGATTCTCCTGAATATCCCATAATGCACAAGCCTTCTCCCTAAGGTAATATAAGACTGACTGAAAATGTCCACGTTATGCTAAGGTTGAGAAGCCCTACTACAAAGAACAATAGCTTTGAGGTGGAATGCAGCATGAAGCAGACAAAATTCTGCCCTGGCAATTTGATCTTCAGCACATCCTCCCTCCTCTAAATCAGTTTTTGGGTTTTCTTTCTTGATACTTAGGAAAGAGAATTCTACTTATAATGGCTTTCTTCCAACTTTTTTTTACAGGTTTTCAAAAATACCTGGCAACAAATCTGGAAATATAATTCTATAACATTGTTGAAATGTTGAAAATGTGGTGATTTCTGCATCCTAACCCCCAGTGACTCAAATTAGTGCCAGGTGGAGGACTCACATCGCCTTCTCTCCAAATGAAAGCAGTTCATGTTGTTGTCTTAGTTTGTATATTTTCTGTGACTTGAAATAAATTTTGAACACAATTTTAGTATACCACAAATTGATACATATGACCCTTTCGCTTTTAAGAAGCGAAATACCAAGGGTAAACCTTAGATGTATTTCTTACCCTTACTACAGCATTATACTTAATGTTATATTGCTATAGCTCTGTTTTTGCTTTAGCCTAAACATTTATTCTTCTTGGTGGTATTTAAGAGTTTCTCAGAAGCAGTATTTTCCAGAACTTTGTTTTTGGCGAATTTGCTTCCGGTGAGATAAGGCTTTGCCCTTTGAAAACTTTCTAGATTTTCTGAATCTTCAGAGTCTGAAGAAAACATGTGCTTGGAGCCATAAAATGGTCAAACAAAGCAAATAGCATACTACAGTAGTGTGTTTAGGAAAATCCAATTATCAAAATGTATTGTTTTGGTCAGTAGCTGATCTGAACATTATAGCTCAGAGTTAAGACAAAGGTTGTGTTGGCACTGTTTTGTGTATGTGTCAACAACCCATGTTATTTTTCGTGTGCTCAATTTTAATAAGTGAAATCAAATGAGCAAAATATATTTCATCCTATCTTGCAGAAAGTCACAAACCTTGCAGCCCTACCATAGTACCAGACTTACCCCAGGAACTTCAAACAGAAAAAAACTTTTACATTCTTCTCAGTTCTTTTAAGAGGACCAAGTATAGAGCACAGGGTGGGGCAGGGGGGCAGGTAAGATTGCCCAATAAGAGTTGCCTGCTTCCTTGCAAGTAGGGGTGAAGGTAATTAGTGCCATTAGCTAACTCTAACATGTAGGGTATCCTTGCCTTGTGTTCTCCTATAATAGCATTAAGGAGGAATGTGATTTCTGTCCATCAGGTCAACCTCAAGAGACAAAGAGTTGCCTTAATAGTAAAGTTTACTGGAACTACTTTTGAGTGTATTTATATTCTCAGAACTCTACCTTTGGGTTAAGTGAATTAAAATCGTGACATATGCTTATAGAGTGTGATATCATATTGCTTACATGTCAAGCAAAAGAATGCAAAGATAAGATCATGATATTAAAATTAAGGGATTTTTCTAAACATATAATCATTTACAAATGAAAATTTGCTGAATATGTCATACTATAACTGTCAAGAAAAAAATGCAAAATAGCTAAGAACTCCCTGGGTATCCTGCTCATACCCAATTCAACTGTGATGTTAATTATGTATAGAGTTCGTTGTCTTCATTACCTTTTCTGCCTTCTTCATAAATGAGACATTGATGTGTTGACTTTGGCAGCCGTCATCTCTTAAAGTGTCAATATATTTGGACATGGAAACCAAGAGTAAAGCATTTCTAGTTAGGAACTCAGATTTCACATAACAGGTTCCAAATCAAAGTCACTGGAGATGAAATTATTTGGTAAGCAGGTGTCTTATAGGAACTGTATCCTAGGAGTTCCATTTTCCCAAAGCCTCATTAAACTTAATTTGGTTAACCGACATTCAGGTTCATAAAGAAAACAGCTGAGGCATGCCAATGTATCCCTATGGAAACATCAGTATTTTTACTGGTATAATAATACAATTAGCTACCACAAGTCCATGACCTACCTTTATTGTGTTCAGACTGGTGATTGAGAAATTATTTCACTAATCTTTGAAACTACAGGTTCCTAGATGATTGGAAACAACCATTTGTTCATTCTTGATCAATAAATGGTAGAAAATAGGTGATCTAGTGTTAAATCTACAGAAACAATCTGATAAATCTATAATGAGTTTAATTGAGCACATGAACTGTGGGATTTTTCTCCCTCTGGAGAATCTGGGGCTTCTTTCCTAGTGATTCACTGTGACTCACATCCCAGAACAGCTGTGGTTATTGTGCTTAAGTTGGGTAGATGGGAAATACGGACATTGTTATAGAAAGAAAGAATGTGACATTTAGTGAATGCTTCCTCAATGAATAGGTAGGATCTGGAAAACATCAAAATTATGAATATTTTCTTTTTACGTGACATTCAAAAAGTCCTTTAACAAAAAATAAGAAAGAGCTTCTATTGATGGGATAAGTCATCCCCTGGTAGAGGTCAAACCTACCTGATTATTTCCAACAATGAAAGATGACAGTATGCTTCCAGTTGTAATACAGTTTTGATTACAACTAATAAATTTCAAATGGAACACCCAGGAAAAGTAAGATGTGTTTAATAAACAAAGATGAATCTTTCTCTTTTTGACAAGCAAAAATAAAGTGTAAGTTGCTGGTCACACTGGATAAGATTATGTTTAACAGAATGTACCTAGTGTGTATGATGTGGAGATGGGACTCTTGGTAATTGTATGTCCATTGCCTATTATTTATGATTATTGTTTTGTTATTGATTCAATAAATCTTTATTTTAAAAGTCACCCTACTTAGAAATCTTCTGTGAGGGCAGGAGGGAGGGGTGATTATGAACCAAAGTCCAGGAAATGGCAACATTTGAAATTAACAGAGTCACCTGAGGTAAAGTTATTCAAATGTAAACCAGCAAAGCTCAGCTAAAGTCAGGTTTTCCAGCAGGATTTACAGTTATTTTCTCCCAAAGTGATCTATGCGCTTTGCAAGTATTGTGACTTCTGAAGTTCTCAGATTGACAAAGTATGAGGAAATTGAATACAATTTTTTTTAAGGCAGAGAGTGAAGAAGACGTGTGAGGCACGGTATTATCCAGTGACTGCGCAATCCTGACCAGAGCAAATAAATTGAAGATAGAAGAGAGAACATGCAGACTACTGTGCTTCTATAATTCAAAAAATTTCTTTGTTGAAGTAGAATTGAACCTTCCTAGGATCCAGACTCGAGTATCGGTGACAGCATTTGCTCAGGCTCTTTGCCAAAGTCTGAGGGCCACATAAGAAAACTCCCACCACAGACCTGTAGGAACAGAACAATAGTGATTACCTGGATGCAATGAAGGTTGCTGATGGCAGTGAAAATTCTAGGCCTCTGCTACTCCCAACAATGTCAAATAAATAATTCAGTTGTTGACTCACAAACAGCTATGATTACCAGCACAAGACTGGGCCCATCATTCTGTCATGGACCCAGGAGGGGCTCACAAGGCCCCACACTTCTCTGATGAACTACTATCATTTAATGGTTGCTAGAAAAGGGAGCAACATTAAATTTTCTTTATTTTCTTCAGTGGTGCAGTGAGATTGCCCACACTCCTGTAAATAAACTCTCACCCTTGCTCATGAAGCAACCTAATTAAACTCACTTGGTCACTGAAAAGATTGATCCCTGTTGATTCGTGAACTGGATAATACACTCCAAATCTTTCTTCCCTTATGTGGAGATCACTAAGTGCCCCCCACAAAATATATGTGCATTTCTCCAGTTCTCTGTTTTGTTGAGCAGTGTCTACAAGAACAGTTCCTTCTCTTTGAATGGAGGCTAATGAGGACAACAATCACCTCATCATTGACACTTATTTTACCAAAACCTTGGATGTCTGTCCTTGTGGGGAAGGGGTGTACAACACATGCACGGATGCCATGACTCAAGTATGAAGGTCAGAAAACAGCTTGCAGGAGTTGCTGCTCTCCTACCAACTGGAAGGTGAGAGAACACAGGCATGGTGGCAAGTGCCTTTATCCACTGAGCGATCTTGCTGGCCCTTTTTAATTTTCAATAAGAATATAAGGATGACACAAATAACTACCCTGTTCTTCTTAAACTCTGATTGTACAGACTCAACTAACTAAAGTAGAAGGCACTTACTTGGGGTAGGCAGTAGCTATTGTAGAAAACTCATTGTCCCACATTGGTCTCCCAAAGGAGGTTTTCTGTTTCAGACCTGTCAGGATGTCAGTGGCCTTGTCAAAGTTTAATGCTGCATGACCAGCCTGAAGTTAGAGAAATGTGAAGTTAGGAAACCCAAGTTTGATAGCTGCCCCTTCTTTAAGCCACTTTTAAACTTGGATTTGAGGATGAAGCCAGCTAGGAAATTTTAAGAAATAATTATTTCTGATCAGAATGCACTATATCTTGTTCAGCAGTCATCTTACATTCGATAATGGAATCAGTCTTTTATTTGAACTCACAATGTTGCTATCCCAGCCAGTGAGGAAGAGACGGTAATTTAGGAAACCTATTTTTCCTAATTCCTCCATCTCCTGTTCCAGGGAACTCAGTAGGTTGTTGAACCAGGCAAAAGCACCTGTCTCTCTGCAGATCCAGTAGAAATAGATCTGAAATCAGTAAAAGAGTCCAAACACTTATTAAGTGTCCTTTACAATGTCACAATGTTGCTATCCCAGCCAGTGAGGAAGAGACGGTAATTTAGGAAACCTATTTTTCCTAATTCCTCCATCTCCTGTTCCAGGGAACTCAGTAGGTTGTTGAACCAGGCAAAAGCACCTGTCTCTCTGCAGATCCAGTAGAAATAGATCTGAAATCAGTAAAAGAGTCCAAACACTTATTAAGTGTCCTTTACAATGTATACTGGGATCTCTCTCTCTCTCTCTCTCTCTCTCTCTCTCTCTCTCTCTCTCCTCCTCCTCCTCCTCCTCCTCCTTCTCCTCCTTCCTCCCTCCCACCCTCCCTTCTTTCTTTCTGAGATGGTCTCACTTTGTAGCTCAGGCTGATCTGGAATACATAATAATCA